ATAGTGATAGACATGTAGCCGTGTTAGTCTGGTGTAGCTGAAACAAAAAACAGGACTATGTAGCACTCTAAAGACTAACAGGATGGTTTAATAGGTGATGAGCTTTCGTGGGCCAGACCAACTTCCTCAGATCAAATAGTAGAAGAAAATTGTCACAACCATATATACCAAAGGATATACCAATTATCTTACCCATTACAAAGATAGCTTCCCCAATTATCACCTCTAATATCATTAGCTCACAGACATTTACCTCCCCCCTTCTGTTCTGAAATTTGATTTGTCCTTTTCATATGTGTTCATTTTTTTTAATTGTATCCTTTGGTATATATGGTTGTGACTATTTTCTTCCACTATTTGATCTGAGGAAGTGGGTCTGGCCCACGAAAGCTCATCACCTAATAAACCATCTTGTTAGTCTTTAAAGTGCTACATAGTCCTGTTTTTTGTTTCGGCTACACCAGACTAACACAGCTACATTTCTATCTCTATTAATAGAGGCAGCAAGGACAGGATGTAGGAGTGAGTACTTCAAAGCGACAGCACCACACAGCTGAGCCCAGGATCTGCTGTGCTGCCACTTTGAAACGCCAAGGTGGAGTTCAAAGGGCCAACGCCTCACAGCTGATCCCCACCTCGGCATTTCAAAGCAGCAGCGCCGCATGGAGCCAGAGGTTAGCAGGGGACTCCCCAGCTGATCCCAGGCTCCACACAGCATTTCTGTGGAACCAAGAATCAGCTGGTGAGTCCCCATCTGACCCCGGGTTCTGGGGAAATGCTATCGGAGCCCAGGATCAGCTGGGTTATCCCCCGCTAACCCCAGACTCCATGAAGGCTCTTCTGCTTTGAAATGCACAGGAACCTCCATTTGGAGACTCTTGTGCATTTCAAAGCTAGCACGCCCACATGCAGCCCAGAGTCAGGGGGGACTGTTGTACATTTCAAAGAAGGAATGCGGAAGTGCCTATAGACTAGTTGAGTAGTCTATGGAAATTCTATCGACTACTCGACTAGTAAATTAACCAGTATTTAACATCCTTAGATCCTGAGCAACTGCTGGATTTTCAGTTTGTCTTGTTCCCAGTCCATTGTAGTGCAGGAAGTACATTGACAAGACAGTCTATGAAAGGGTAAAATTGTTGAAGAGTGAGAAGGTATTTAGCAGGTTGATGGTGTATGCAGGCATGTGGATGTGGTTGAAACACAAGTACAGTGGTTAGAATGCACAATTGAAAACTGGCATCCCCTCCTCTCCCCCAAAAGGAGTAGGTGCAAGCCCATTAACTTTTTCTTAAATTGGCCCTGAACTTCTGAGTCCAAGTCACTCTTTGTATAGTGGATCAGGAAGGGCAATGAAGGACCCATCTGCAGATGTTTGGAGTACTCACCACAGAAATATAAAGTGCAATTCAAAATGTAAACTAAATATTCAACACAAATGGAAGACAGTTTACTGCTCTTTGCATTGGTGCTTTCTCTTGGAGTCACCTCTCAGAGGAGATAAGGGGTGTAGAAAGTATATCAAACCCAGTGATGTGATGCTAATATTTCAACAGGGGATTCTAAAACACATTTCTAACTATACGAGAAACCCTGAGTCCCAGGAGAAATGGGGACTTATTCCCTTGTTTTCCCATTTGAATACAAGCATGCTCTCAGAACTATAAAGAAGGGAAGGAGACAACACCACTCAGTAAACAAGCCCATTAAGCTGAACTAGAACAGCTTATATTGTGTTCCCAAGTAGTGATGAGAGCAGAGTGACAGTGTCATATTGTGAAAAGGACACCATTTTCAGGAAGTTCTATAAAGGAAGTTGTAAAGAAGCATGATCCTTAGTGGGAAAACAATCTGAAAAACCTGACATTTGGTGGAATCTGGTCAATTTCAAAGACAAAGGCATCAGTATGCGTCCCATGGCAGAGATGATTTAACAGTATCCCTCCAGACAGGAGGAAAACTTGGTCAGAAGCAGGGAAGCCACCAGAATCCTCCCTGCAATTTGGTATGCAGTTCTCCTGGAGCATCTTCATGATACTCCTTCTTTGCCCTCATTAACACATCATTGCTTTAAGCTCTAAAAACCCGTCTCTCATATCATCATTGGATTTTTTTAATCGTGTGGTGCACAAAACAAAATGTGCGGGATCTTCTTTTCAGTATCACCCTATGTATAACTGCCTCCCATCTAACCCTTTAGTAAAAAAAAAAAAAAAAGCCTCCTGTAATGTAGTATTCAAAATCCAAACTTAATCCCTATGAAAATTATGATGTGAGAAAGTTGGCTGGTTATCTTCCATAGGCAAAGTCAGCATGGTGCTACCTCATTTCAAAGAGTAACACTGCATTAATCTACCAAAACTTCCACTTTTATGCAGCAGTAGTTTTATAAATACAAGCTCTTGCTATACAATAAATATGTTCTTTGATCACACACTCATTTGCTGTTCTTTTTATATTTCTGCACACTTATAGCATGTACTGGTGCACAGCACATACAACATACAGAATAGATTCATTTATATCAGTAGTCAATCCTATTTTACCATTTTCAGTGGTGCATTTTGATCCCTTGAGCAATCTCATTCCTTTATCAGCTAGTTGATTCAGAGCATGTTCACTGTGCATGCATTTCCATTCACGCACAATAGATTTATAGCTTCATTTAAATAAGATTCACTGAGTAGCAGAATAGGTGCAAATAGCCTGTATCTTTGACACAAACTGAGCTGTTGTATGAACAAGCAACCCAAAAAGCTCCTGTGGGGGAAAAAAATCAGTCAATACCCAGCTTTCCTAAGTTTATGGGCATAAGAAAGGGAGAATATTTTAACTAAATGTATAGTATCTGTTATGAATAAAAGAAACATTTAACTTTGTGAAATACCAAACACGAAAGACAAATTCTTCTTGATTCTTGGAAGTTGCTTGGCAAGAAAAGGATCAAAATATTTCTGCTTTAAATTCTCATTCAACTATATTTAAAGCTTGATCATTTTTAAAAATATACATAATTTGTAGTGATATCTGCTCTATAGAACAGGATGATTGCTTCTGAGAGTGAAGAATTATTTCCTTACACTTCAGTATTTGCCTAGAAAAACATTACAGATTTTTCCCATTCTGTCCTCTGAAGAATCAGATATTGACAACTGAGGACAGCAATTGCGTAAGACTTAATATACCCATGGTCTGATGCAACATGGAAAAGTCTGTATTTCCAAATGTGCAATCCATTTTAGGTTTAGCAGTTAATTATCATTTGCAATGATACCATGTTACTAGCTTCATAATTAAAGCCAATGACTTAAATCCCATTTTTATAGGTAGCTGAAAGCTGTTGTGGAAGAAAGCAATTGTTATTTAAGATTTGCAAAACATGTTACTCATGTATCAAAAAGGCTCTGTGAGAACTAACCTGAGGATCTGAGAACACTTGCTGCATACTGTTGATTGGACCATATGGAACACCACTACCTTCAAAGAGTTCGAGCCATTTGGTGGTCATTTCTTCTGAAAATCTAGGAACAAACAAGGAGCATGTGGTTTAAACTCTCCATTTTAGATTCCAAAGAATGTAGAACACCCCTCACTGATTTCTTCCCAGGCAGTCAATAATACAACAAAAATGTGCTGCACGTGGTCTTTGGAAATGCAAATACTAAGCCTTAGGGCAAAGATCCTGGTTAGACTGACTTATAATTCTCTCTGATTGTCTGATGCAATACACCATTGATGCAAACTAAAATTATCAACAGTTTCAAATATGGATCAATGGGTTTCCTCGAGACCTTAATTACAGTAATAAGCTGCATATTTTATTTATTTAACAAACGAATAGATATGATATTGGTAAGAGTCTAATGTACAAAAGCGTTCTATTTTTGATCATAAAAATCACTGATTTAAAGCAGCACAATGTTTTTCCTCCATTACATTTGAAACATATGTCAGAATTAACAAAACACAATTGTTGGTCAGATAACAACATCAACTACATATTTATTTGCTGTACGATTATATAATCAGTCCTCAGGACATCCGGCTGAGCATATGTGTGATCTGCTTATCCTGCATAATACAACATTCCAAGTCTTTTTACATCGTTTATAAAGCTTAGCTCATTTCCTTGAAAGCATTCAATTTTCAGAATCAGAAGTCCTTGTCTCTACCATAGTTCCCTCTTACGATACTTGCATCCTATTTCCTAAGTGCAATTCTACGTTTGTCGAGGCAGAGTTTCCTATGTCCAGTTAATACAAATGGTCCTGAAGCAAAGGCAGTAACTAGCAAGTATAAGGTGATATTTTCTATTGGTTTCTGAAGCAGAATAAACTGATATGGCTTCCAGGGGCAACTGGTGCCTCCAGAGGCAGGGAGGAAGTACAGGAAGGGCTACCCAGAAGGATGGAGGAGTATGTGAGGACATCCCATTTAGCAATTCGATTTTTGGCAGGGGCACAGAGGGGCTGTGCAACTCCAGAGTGCTACGACGAGTCACCGATGATGGATTTCACCTCCCATAACATGATTATGTTACATAATCCTGAAGATACATAACATGATTGTCTGCTAAGATACTGGTCACATTAAAAAGACAGAGAAGTAATTGTCATGCTATAGTCAAACATGTGAAGGAACTGAGATGTAGTATGTTTCCTTTGTTTTCCTGCCTAACTGGCATTTTCTAGCTCACCATTTCCAAGTTCCTGATCATCAACATTATCAATACTACCTTTTAGCTTAAAAATGCACTGTACATGGACATCTCTGGATAGCTAATACAAATGTTAAAATAAGTATTAAACACAATTGGGTGTATCTACACAGCAAGGCTTAATTCAAAATAAGCTATGTCAATTGCATAGCTTGTTTCAAAATAGCTTATTTCGAAATTGGGAGCATCTACATAGCACTTATTTCAAAATAGAGCACTCTTCTTTCGACTTTGCTTACTCCGCATACAATGAGGGTTACAAGAGTCAGAATAAGAAATCCTCCATCTTGACAGTATTTTCACATTAAATTTTGAAATAACTGTGCTGTGTAGACACGGACTGACAGTTATTTCAAAATAAGGCAAGTTATTTCGAAATAATGTTGCTTTGTAGACGTACCCAAAGGCAATAGAAGCAAAACTATAGCAAAAAATAACCTATGGATAACTTGTGCACATTACATATATTTTCATGTATAGACTGTAACTGGCTGTACAGTATTCTGTGATACTCTGGGATGAAAATGCTATGAAGATAAGCCATGCTACAATGTACTGTATTGCATATTGTATAGGCACCTATCCTAGCTTCATTTATACTTCTCTTTTCTGTACAGAAGGGATTTTATCCAATTTTCATGAAGTATATTGAATGTATATTACAGGCAGTGATAATTATCCAACATGATGGGGAAATTCATCCTGGTGCACAAGGCATTTGCATTTCAAAGCAGTGAAACAAAAGATGATGTTACTTACAGTGCACTGTAACTAGAGTTCTTTGAGTTGTTTTGTTCCTGTGGTACTTCATGCACATTGTCCCTTGATGAGAGATATTCTCAGTGTCCACAGGATGACACCTGTTCCCTATACATCATTCTTATGCTCTGGTATGTGGAAGGCATCTGCCACCTCTCCAGTTCCTTCTCAGCAATGAAACCTTCTTGAGAAATACAGGTTTCTTTATGGGAAGTTCAGTGAGTCTCATGGTTTGAAAAACGGGCAAAACCATTGAGCTGTATGAGACTTGCTGTGTTCCCTTATCACAGGTGTGTAGATGCCAAAGTATCAAGCAAGTCTTTGGTGGGAGCAGAGAGATCTCTACATGAACCTCTCAAGAGCTTCAGCCCTTCAAATGCAAAAATCCTCCACAGTGTTTTGTATTTCCCAGGGAAGGCTGGAGGATTGCAGTCAAGATACTCTATGCATGAACAATGGTGGTAGCTACCGAGAACAAAGCTCCATCAGCCCTTCTGAGTTAATCATGAAGAGAAGCCTTGGAAATTGTCTGTGCTTCTGTGATAAGATCCTAGAACTGCTCCTTCTGGTTCTGTGAAAGACGTTCACCGAAATTAGAAAACCTGAAATATTTTTTTAAAAGTCATATTTTCCCATTGAGGCCTACCAGTTAGTTGGACACCATGAATTGCAGAGCAGCTGAAGAGTAGTTTTGTTACCAAGAAGGTTTATGCATTTAAGTTGCTTGTGAAAGAGGGCTGATCATGACCAATACAGTCTAGTTCTTAGACTGATTGCTTTAATGACTAAAGAGTTAGAGACGGGGTGGGGGAAAGGATACGCTGAACCCTTGGAAGGAATATAGTATTTATCGGTCTGCTTAAAAGTAGGTGGGGTAGGGTTGCTAGTGTTTGCCACACCATGCAGGCTGCTGCTAACTCAAGTGAAGGGCAAGGCAATTTTCTCTTGAGGGAAAGTATGTAAAACATTCATCAAAGAACATTGATCTCCTTTAGCAGGAGCTGTAAGGACTCTCAGATCTTGTGCTTGAGGCCTTGCAACATCTTGAAATCATCTCACAGGATAGCAGGGTGAGTGGGCAGGCATAACAACCTCATCTGGTGAGGAACAGGACATGTAAGATGGTGGCATCTCCTCCCCAGTGCCTAGCTCCTGCTTTTCTGGAGGTTCTTCCTGTGGAAGGTGTCCCAGTGGCAATGACTGTTGTTCTTGCATAAGTGTAACCATAGAACTGTTCACATACAGAGCCCCACAGTTCCAAAAAGCCCACTGTACTGGGCCATAAGGAACAAGGCAGGACTTCAGGGTGTCTTTGCCAGTCATCACCTGTATCCAGTCTAGGAGCAAAAGGCATCAGTACCAGGGGTCATGTCACTACTGGAAGACAGGAGAAGACAGATAAGTGCACGGTCTCCCGTGGTCAAGTCTTTGTAAAAGGCTTTCCTACTCCTCAAAAGAGGATTCATGTTCTTTTAGATTAGGAGGTCCCCCTCAGAGGGAAGCCTGGATGAGACTGAAGAATCTGGATAATTGTGAGGTACTGGAGATAGTACTGAAGAGTGGTCCGCGTGTTCTTTACTGTGACTTGAGACATTGAAGACACTGACTTTAAGACCTTGGACTTGGATGAGTCCCTGTGTTCAGAAGGTTCCATTTCTGGTACTGACACCAGTGCTGCTTAAGGTTACCTTCCAGGAGGTCTGTCAGTCTGTTGAGATCTTTTTTGATGATGCTGTAACCTCACTACCTGAGGAGGTAGAATCCTCAGTGATACCCCTACTGGGATGGGCTCCTCGTTTCCGAACAAGTGAATGACTTTCTGCTTCTCTGGGTCTCCATTTCCAGCAAATATAATCTCTTCAATGGTCTCAAAGAATCTGATAGGCCCTCATGTCCTTGCTTAATGGAGCTGGGGCAGTGACCAGCACATTCTGAACAACTGAGGGTAAAGAATGGGGGTGGGACAGATACCATGGATGTCAGAGGGCACTCTGTAAGAAGCAGTTTCAATCTGTCCCTTCTCAGTTTTCTGGATCTACTTGTGAATTTCCTTTCACTATGGGAATGTCTACACTTGCCCTCTACTTCGAAGTAGGGAGGCAAATGAAGCATACCAAAGTTGCAAATCAAGCCCGGGATTTAAATATCCTGCGCTTGATTTGCATGTTCCCGGCTAGTTGCCAATTTAGAAATTCACTAGCCCAGAGTAATTGCCCACGTCTACACACGGCAGTGACACAGGAGTTGATTTAAAGCCCTAACTCGAATTAGCTGGTATTCCTCCTGCAATAAGGTTTACCAGCTAATTCGAATTAGAGGCTTTAAATCGGACTCCCGTTTCACTGCCGCGTGTAGACGCGGGCAGTTACTCCAGGCTAGTGAATTTCTAAAATGGCGACCGGCCGGAAACATGCAAATCAAGCACGAGATATTTAAATCCTGGACTTGATTTGCAACTTCGGTATGCTTCATTTGCCCCCCTACTTTGAAGTAGAGGGCAAGTTTAGACATGCCCTTAGAGAGGACACGAGTCTCTCCAAGGCAGTTGGAATGCCTATTGCTGAAGGTGAAGGATCTGTGGCAGGTCTGTCAAGGCAAGAATCCCAGGGTATTGGGCATGCTCTGTCAGCAAAGGTTGGAGATGTAAAGGGTTGAATGGAGAGTAGGCCTTGACCAAACAAGGACTGGGGGAGCACAAAGTTGTCCTAAATTAAATAGAACAAGGTTTCTCAATCTCCATTGCACCACAACCCCCTAACAACAAAAGTTAATATATGACCTCAGGGAAAAGGGGACACACTGAAGTTTGACCCTGCCTGAGCCCCACTGCCCTGGGTGGGGGACCATAGCCAAAGACGTCAACTTCAGGCAGGGGGCTGTAACATGAGCTATGCTGCCCCTGGCTGAATCCCTCTGCCTTCGGATTCAGCCCAGGCAGTGCAGCTTAGGTCTTGACGCTGGTGCCCATTGGGTCCTGACCCACAGTTTGAGATCTGCTGTAATAGAAAAATACCAGTAAAAGGAAACCATTAAAGAAATAAAAGA